GGATGCTTTAAGAGGGGTGGACTTCCACTCCCAGAATTCCCCAGCCAGCATGCTTTAAGAGGGGAGGACTTCCACTCCCAGAATCCCCGACTCTGCATGCTTTAAGAGGGGTGGACTTCCACTCCCAGAATCCTGCAGCCAGCAGGTTTTAAGAGGGGAGGACTTCCACTCCCAGAATTCCCCACATAGGATACTTTAAGATGGGTGGACTAGAACTCACAGAATTCCTCAGCCATCCATGCTTTAAGAGGGACGGACTTCAACTCACAGAATTCCCTAGCCGGCAACCCCCAGGCTAGAGTGATTTTGATCCAACCTACCTAGCAGGATTGTTATGAGGGAAAATGGGAAGAGGCTTTTATACACAGCTTTAATCTCTAGGCAATGTTTCTCAAACTTACCCACTTTAAGACGGGTGGACTTCAACCCCCAGAATTCCCTAGCTAGCTATGCTGGCTGGGGAATTCTGGGAGTTGAAGTCCATCCGTCTTAAAGCTGCAGAGGTTGAGAAACAGGGCTCTGGAATAAACCACTTGCTCTCCCTGCAGGTTTGTGGACCGGATTAATCGTCTGCATCTCTCTGCAAGCTGCATCCTTCTTGGTTGTCGTCTTACGCATGAACTGGAAAAAAGCCGCCGAAGAGGTAAAAATCTCTGCCTTGCAGACTTGATTGTGCCTTGCCCTCAGGAGTACCAGCTGAGGAATGGGTTCATGGGCTCGGCTCAGAAGAAAAGCAAACCATCGGCTCCTATGGCAGGGGTGTCAAACTTGATTTCATTGAGGAGCGCATCAGAGTTGTGTGTTGCGGGCGCCTCTGGAGGCCCGAGCATTCTGCCAGCGAAAACGGGCTCCCGAGCTCTGTCTACGGCTATGACGGCCTGCTCCGACCCTCTGCCAGCGAAAACAGAGTTTGGGACGGGCGCATGCAGCCCTCCTGAGCTCCGTTTTCGCTGGCAGAGGCACCGCGGGCCGATCCTTTTCTGTTTCCAGGGCAGCCCCGTGGGTGAGATCTAAGGACTCCGCGGGTGGGATCCAACCCCTGGACCTTTGAGTTTGACCCCCCTGTAGTATGGCGCATTTGTTCTGCTTGTTTTGTTCGGCTTGTTTCTCTTAGGCTCAGATTCGAGCTGGACTAACAGCCAGAGAAGGAAGTCCTGAGGATTCTGTCAGTGCAGGTAAAAATGCTCTACCCTTTACTCTTTGTGATGTGCATGGTGTTGGAAAGGAAGCCTTTTGGTTTTTTTAAACAATGTGAAAAAAATTTGGACAACTTTTAAAAGCACCCATTGGCTGTTACAAGATTTATTCGACTGCATTTTACATTTGGTCTGCCATGCAAGGCAATCTATTTTATTTATTTCTCTGGACCCCACCTTTATTATTTTTTGCCAGTACACCTTCCTCCTTTTCCTCTCTTTTCCCCACCAGAACAATCCTGTGAGGGGGGTTGGGATGAGAAAGAGAGTAAGTGGCCCAAGTGTGGTTCTAAGGCCAGGCCTGCTGTATGTCCACCAGAAACAGATGGTCAGGTCGAGCGTATCAATCAGTAATGTCTACTTATTTGCATGTGGTCTCCACACAGATTATCTTGCGATGAATTTGGAGGTGCCCAATGGAGATACTCCCAGCTGTTTTGTCCACCCGGGTGAAAACTTAGAGGACCATGAGCCTCTTCCCGGCGAAGAGGTGCCCCAGTTTATTGCTTCTCCGACACCAGGGGCCTTATCCCGCAAGCAACTTCTTCTCCGGCGCGGACTGGCACTGCTGTTAGCCGTCGCCACCTTGCTTTTAGGGGTTGTCATCCATCTCCTGCTCTGAGAACGGCGGAGTTGTGCAACATGGGAAGACCAAAGAGGGCAGCCGTTTGGGAGACCTTCTTACCTCATTAGTGCTCACCCCCAAAGAATCTAAAAGTGATCCAGCCTGGGATCTGATCCCCAGGAATGGTTGCTCTTTTACCATCAGCCTGGACCAACGATGGGGAAAGACTTGGTGGAAAGACTTAACTTGCCTTTAAAGGCACTTGGAAAATCACATTGGAATAAATCCAAGTGTTTAAAAAAATTTTTTTTAAAAAAAAAATTGGTGTTTTGTATTTTAACTTTTTTGGAATAAAATAAAAATAGATATTAAAAAAGAAAGGAAAAAAATCACATTGGAATATATCCAGGTGTTTTCTTTACACGTTCACTGATAAAATTGCTTTTTTTTAAAAAAGAAAACTGTTGAGGGTTTGGTTGACCACTATGCTTCAAGGAGGTCCCCAGGTGGGGTCAAAAAAGTCAAGATGGCAGCTTTGATGAGTCGACTAAAGCTCCCAATTTTTGATGTGCATAAAACAGGGTGAATTTTCACGGTGCTGTTGTGGGAGCCATCTTGATTCTTGACCGCTCCTTGCTGCCACCCATATCCTTGTAACTCTAATGTCACTCCATGCCATCTATGTCTCGGTGGTCCTTGACTTACAACCACAATCAGGCCACAATTTCCTGGTGCTATAAAGCAAGACAGTTGTTAAGTGAGTCATGCCCAATTTTGCAACTTTTTGCCACTGTTGTTAAGTGAATCATGCTGTCATGCAAATTTGGCTTCCATGACTGACTTTGTCGCTTGTCAGAACCTGGCTGGGAAGGTCGCAAAAAGTCATCACACGAGTCTGTGGCTCTGCAACCGTTGTAAATACGAGCAAGTTGCCAAGTGCCCAAATTTTGATCATGTGACCGTGGGGATGCTTCTTACGAGTGAAAAACGGTCCGGAATCACTTTTTTCCATGCCATTGTAACTTTGAAAAGTCACTAAACAAACGGCTGTAAGTCGAGGACTACCTGTATGGCAAGAATGATTCATAACAACTAACTTTGATTAGTTTTTCCTTCTTTTCTTTTTCTTTTGTGTTTCTTCTTCCTCTTCCTCCTCCTTTTGTTTCTTCTTCCTCCTTTTGAGTTTCTTCTTCTCCTCCTTCTCTTGTGCTTCCTCCTCCTCCTCCTCCTCCTCCTCCTTTTGTGCTTCTTTCTTCTTCTCCTCCTTTTGTGCTTCTTCCTCCTCCTCCTCCTCCTCCTCCTCCTTTTGTGCTTCTTCTTTTTCTTCTTCTTCTCCTCCTCCTCTTGTGCTTCTTCTTCTTCCTCCTCCTCCTCTTCTTCCTCCTCCTCCTCCTTTTGTGCTTCTTTCTTCTTCTTCTCCTCCTCCTCTTGTGCTTCTCCTCCTCTTCCTCCTCCTCCTCCTCTTGTGCTTCTCCTCCTCCTCCTCTTCTTCTTCCTCCTCCTCCTTTTGTGCTTCTTTCTTCTCCTCCTCCTCCTCTTGTGCTTCTCCTCCTCTTCCTCCTCCTCTTCCTCCTCCTCCTGTGTTCCTTCTTTTGTTTCTTTGTTTCTTCTTCTTCCTTCTACTTTCCCCAAAATTATGGACTTCTCCAAATTTCTAAAACACATCCTATGTCCAAAATAGGATTGTTTGAGCTTGGTCACTGGTGTTTTGAAGAAGAACCCCTGGTTGATTTATTTCAATGATCCATCAGTTTGTTTTCATCTTCTGAGGAGTTTTCTCCAGCACCCGGAATTCAAAGGAATTCTTCTCCAAAGTGTTTCTTCAGGTCTTCCAATGATGTTTCCATTAGCACTGTGACTTGAGTTCCCTCCACCTGGCTACTGGTTACCCTCTTCTCTATCCTTCCAATTTTTTTAGCATCAGAGCTTCTCCAGGGAGCTGAGTCTTCCAGTTGATTATATGCCGTCAATCTAGTGTCACCTCTTAGTGACCTCATAGATAATATTTTTTCTCCAGGAAGATCTGTCTCCAACTTAATCTTTCAGATCTTCCAATTGCGGCCCCATAACTTGAGTCCCTCAAACTTGCTGCAGATTGTCCTCTTCTTCTCCAGAAAGTTGGATCGTCACATCATGCATCCAAAGTAGGGTGGTTTGAACCTGGTCATTTGTGCCTCGAGGGAAAACTGCGTTGACTTGTTTGATAATCCATTGGTTGGTTTTCTTGACGATCTATGGTCCACTCAGTTGTCTTCTCCAACACCAAATTTCTCCGGCAGCATTGTTAACTAGGGTATACAAAACCTTTGCCAGACCAATTCTCGAATACAGCTCATCCCCCTGGAACCTGCACTGTATATCGGATATTAACATAATTGAGAGGGTTCAGAGGTATTTCTGAACTCCACTTTCCACTCACAATAGAATTCTTGAAATTTTGGGCCTGGACAATCTGGAACGGCACCGCCTGCGGTCCGATCTAAGCATAGTTCACAAAATGGATGCCTGCTATAACATGTTGCCTGCCAATGACTTCTTCAGCTTCAACCACAATAACACACGGGCAAACAACCGATACAAACTCAAGGTAAACCGATACAAACTCGATTGCAGAAAATAAGACTTCTGCCACAGAGTGGTCAATGCCTGGAACGCCCTACCTGACTCCGTTGTTACAGCCTCAGCTCCTCACAGCTTCACGTTCAACTTCAAACTGTCTACCGTGTGCAGAAATGAGTAAATTGACATTTGAAATTGGAGAACAAGAAGATAAACAATTTTAGAAGATATGGGATTTGTTTTATCAATGGTTGGACAAAAAAAACATGGTAATGTAATAGACTAGGTAGTTTTGTAATAGAATTTTAATAGATTGATATAAAATATAATATAGACATATATAACCACTGGATGGAAGTACAATATAAATTTCATAATAAAGTTTGGAATATCTCGTATAAAGTGATGGAATAAATAGTTTAGTCACGGATGATTAATAACTGATAAATATATAAACATGTTAGTTTGACAATGTGAGAATTTATATAAACCGTGAGCAATGACTATGAAAAGATAGTACAAAAGATTTGTAACCAACTGACACACTGTATGTATATAAAATGGAAGATGGTTTTATGTTTTTATGTTTTGTTTGTATATGTTTGTCTTAAAAAATAAAAACTTTGTTTTTTTAAAAAAAACTCTGCTGTGGACCTCACCCCATTCCTAAGAGGTCCTTAAAGGGGGCATACTGTCCCTGTCTTACTGTCCCCATTTATTTGTATTTACTCCCTTTATTCTTGTTTGCGTTCATTTTTGTTATCTTGTAGGTGTTTGACAAACAAACAAACAAATAAGAATACACTTCCTTTCCTTCTTCACTAAAGTCCCAACTTTCCATAGATGGTCACAGGGAGAACCATGTTTTTCACGATTCTGATCTTTCTAGGTCAGTGGTGGCTAACCTTTTTCGGCTCCCTTTCCGATAATTGTGTGCACACCAGAAGGCAATGCATGCTGGCCCCCCCACACCCTCTGCGCATGCGTGCACGACCCCCTCATGCGCCATGCGTCTCTGCGCATGTGTGCGCAATTCCCCTCATGCGCCGCACATCTTTGCGCATGCATGTGCAATTCCCTCGTGTAGCACCCCCCTCCGCATGCCCATGTCTCCCATGCACCCCCCTCCGCACCCTGTACATGCGCGCCAGATACCCAACAATCAGCTGTCGGGCGATGGTGGCGCATGCGCATGCACAGTGGGGCTCTTCATGGTGACCTCTCGCGTGCCTGGGGGAAATGGCTCTGCAGAGAATCTATGCCACTGTGGCATAGATTCGCCAACACAGTTCTAGGTGGAGACACATCCCAACATCTGGGTATCTTCTCCAAGACCTTCAAGGCTGCTCTGTTATGATATGTGCAGCATAACCCTTGAGTAACAAGGATATGCACATGGAAACATTTATGAGAGTAGTTATGAATAATTATTCAGCCACACACAGCTACACTGAATTGAGTTAAAGTTTACTTTAAGAAATAGCACAGTCCAATAAACGGTCCAGGTCATATACGTTCTACAGTCCAAAGAATATCCAATTACAAAGTCTTCTTACCGGTTGCCTTTGTCATTTACAGTAAACAAAGATATCAAAGTATAAGCACAGCAGAGAACCTTCGATAGCAACAGAATGTCAGAGAGAGCAAGCTATGATCTCTAGCTCCCTCTTATGGTAATTTGCAATATAATCAACCAATCGGAATATAGTACAAATCAATACAGTAACTTTGTCTTAAAGGTCCTGTTAGGAATAACATAGGTTACCTAACGTGGTTTGGGTAAAATAATATATATAAACTATGATAGTGAGTTTATATGTGTGTGTCACTTTAACTGCAAAGCATGTAATTTTGGGTACGGCTGTAAATCGCCATAAGAGGGAGCAAGAGAACTGAACTGTATTGTTGGCTTACTGGATTGCTTGCCGACGATGATGGATTGATGGTGTGATAACTGCGAGTTCTCTGCTGTTGCTGAAGGAAGAAAAGAGTTTTTACTTCTGCTTATCTCATACTGCGAAGAGATAAATTACTGGACTGATATCTGTAAGTTTAATGAACTCTTTTTTGACACTGGACTTTGCAACTGATTAATCCCTGGACGGACTGAACTAAGTGTATGATATATGGACTGTTTGACTATGCTAAAAATCTTACTGGAATAAAACTATTTAACTAGCACATTGTATCTGTTTTACTGAGTGTAAACTACAACAACGTTTATCTCACATATTTGCCTGCCTGCCTGACTGCCGTGCAGGTTCTGCTAGGGTGTATATCCCTAACAGGTACAAACATACATTGTTGGTTTATATATTGCCAACCCAACTAATTGGTGGACAGATTCCTAACATGCTCCATTGAGCGTTACCACACAGAGTATATTTTAACTGTTTATTTTTTTTAAAACGGTGGATGGTTCATCTCCAAAGGCCATCCTAAAGCCACAAGGACTGACGCATGCCATTGTTTTCCTAAAGTTCCCAAATAACATAGCAAAAGTCGGTCAGCGAACGTCAAGACATGAACCTGCCAAAAGAAACTAGATTCTCACTCCCTTGACCCCATCAAATCTCTCAGTCTCTCTGATAAGAGAGACCTTTAAATACGGGTAGTCCTCGACTTACAACCATTATTGAGTGACGGTCATTAAATGGGTCATCAGGTGACTGCACCCAATTTTTTCCCCATCTTTTTTTTTGGGGGGGGGGGGGGTCAAGTAAATGCGATG